TAGGGATGGCTCCGTCCCCACGGGCTCCGTGTCTGCTATCAACACCCTGCAGAGATGGGGAAAACGTGGCGTTTCTGGCAGGGCCCCCAAATCCTCTGCTTTTTCCTCCATTCCCCCATCCCCAGTGCTGCTCTTTTCTTTTGCTTCAGCATGTGATTCCCATCAGCTGCGTGCCTGGACAGCCCACGCAATCCCAGTTCAGAGCTGGAGCCTTATTGCGAGGCCTGCCTTTAATTTAATGCCTTGCTGTTTACTGGCTCCGTGCAAGTCTGGTGCTGAAAAAGGATAAGCGTCATCTGGAAATAAACTGACCCTGGATTGTCCTCAGGCCTGAGTTTGGGAAAGAAGTTTCTGGTCTCTGCCATGCCCCAGGAAATACTGAGCTTGCATTTAAGCCCCAGATTTTCCTTTGAATGGGGATGGAAACAGGCTTGGTGAAAATAGTAACTTGAATTTCACTGATGTAATGGTTTTTTTTGGCTGTGAGGAGGGTGATCTGTGTGTATCAGAGGCAACCAAATACAGCCTACAGCCACTCTGCAGGCACCCCCACTGCACAAATGGCAGGGAGGGTCAGGCAGAGCATTCCCTGGGATGCTGAGAGCAGCAGGCAGGAGGTTTGGGAGCCCAGCCTGGCATCTGCAGGAGGGCCAGCCCTGGCAGCACACTCAGCTCTGCTCTCCCTTTTCAGTTCTGGACGTGAATGATGAGAACCCCACCTTCTTCCCCGCCGTCTACAACGTGTCCCTGCCCGAGAACGTGGCCCGGGATTTCAAAGTGGTCCGGCTCAACTGCACGGATGCCGACATCGGGCTGAACGCTGAGCTCAGCTACTTCATCACAGGTGTGAGCCCCATGCCAGAAGGGCAACTCGGGTTGCAGGAAGGCACAGGCTGCCCCAGACCTCGGCCAGGGTGTTCTGCACTTCAGCGCTGCCTTTCCCAGCCCCTCCAATCCTTGTCCGGCATCGCCCTCTGCTGAACAGCCCCGCTCGGCTCCCGGCCACGCTGACCACTCTGCTGACCCTAGAAAAGCGTGAGGATGGGCAGAACACGGCTAGGGAGCAAGGGCTGGGGTGGCTTTCATCAGTGTTTATGGTTGGAAGGCATAAATGGAATTTTGGGGCATTTTTGGGCAGGTAGGATTGGGTGGGCAGCAGTGCCGCCCAGGCAGTGCCCGGCTCATTCCACAGCTGCAGCACCTGCAGCAGGAGGCTGGGGAATCCCCTGGCCATGGTTTGACTTGCAAACTGCACACCAAGCCCTCAGGAAGAGGGTAAAAACAAAAGTGTCACCACCAGAGAGTCACTTTTCCCACAACAGCAGCCTGCTTTTCCATGTCACAGCCCCCCTGGCCTCTCCACAGGTGAAACAGGGTGTGCTGTCCCACAGGTACCACAGCTCACATGCAAAGTTACCCCAGTTTGCTTCAAAGCATTCAGGAAATGATCCAGCTTTTCCTACAGCCATTGGATTTTTCCTGTGCTGTGAGGCAGAGGGAAGGTGCTCTGCCAGGGACAAGATACAAAACCAACCTTGCATAGCTGGGCTGACCCTGTGCCCAGGCCACAGAATCCAAGGAAATGGCCTCAAGTTGCACCAGGGAAGGTTCAGATTACATACTGGGAGAAATTTCTTCACTGAAAGGGTAGCCAGGCATTGGGACAGGCTGTCCAGGGAAGCAGTGGATGCTCCATCTCTGGAGGTGTTAAAGGTCAGGTTGGACAGGGCTTGGAGCAGCCTGGTCTAGGAGGTGTCCCTGCCCACGGTGAGGTGTTGGAACAAGATGACATTTAAGGTTCCTCCCAACCCAACCCATTCCAAGTTTCTGTTCTGCTTGTGCTTTGCTGCAGGTGGGAACCAGGATGGCAAATTCAGCGTCGGCTTCAGGGACGGGGTGGTCAGGACAGTCGTGAGTCTGGACAGGGAGACCGTGGCATCCTACACACTGATCCTGGAGGCCATTGGTAAGGATTTCCCAGGGATCCCACTGCCACACAGCCACATGTGGTGGCCATGCATATGTGAAGCTCCCTTGCAGGCGTGTCAGAAGGGCAGCAACCTCTCTCTACAAACCGGAGTCTGGTCCTGGTGCTAACATTACACAGCCCATGTGAACTAATGTGTCCCACTTCCATCATGACTTTTGCAGAGGATGTATTCTCCTCTCAGGTTTGCCCAGCCCCAGGGCTCTCCCTTTCACCTGAGGAAGGCAGGCCCACTGTTCCTGAGAGGCTCCACACTGTCCAGGGCAGCCCTCTACCCAAAAATGCCAAGGTCACAGCATCGTTGCCCTGCTGCCATGCCAGCCCTTGGCTCTGTGGCTGCTGATTAACCCTGAGCCACCTGGCACGGGCAGAGGGTCCATGTGCCAAACTCAGCTTGGCTGTCATCCCCAGAGCTTTATAATGATGTGCCTGTTCACAGATGACTTGGATGTCCCTTTTGAGAGGAGAAGTGAGTGGCCTGGACAGAAATGCTGGGGGCACAGCATTGCAGGTGCCACAGGGGCTGCAGCAGGGATACTGCTCTGCCTGGGCACACAGGACTGCATCCCAAGGGGCAAAGGGTCTGTTGTGCCCCTCCCATGGGGTCACACTGCCTGTGTTTTCCCAGATCCCACAGGCTCCCAGCTGGGTGGGTTTAGTGCTCCCTGCAAATCAAGCATGGTGAAAAATCCAACCCCAATCCATGCTTCCCAGTGCCTCATTCTTCCTGGCAAATCCAAGAGCTGTGCTGACATGTCCTTGTCTACTGAACATCAACCTATCCTGGTGCTCTTTGACTGTGGGCTGAGCTGCAGCTATGGGAAGTTCATCAGGTTGCCTTCATCTCCCAAATCCCTGGCCTCCAGCAGTCCCTTCACTTGGTGTATGGAATAGCAAATCCTCTCTAATGAGCAGTTGCATTTCTATCCTCACTGGGCTCCATGGCAGAGCTTGGGGGCGGTTTGACTTTTCCTTTTTCTTTCAAAATAGCATGGTGGTTTTGCAAAAACCACAACAATAGAAACGGGGGGAAAACCCTAAAAAATTCGTGGTTCAGTGTGGGATTTGAAATGTTTTCATTTAGAAATCTTGGTCCTGTTATTTCAGCAGCCACGGGCTGAGCACGCCCTGTGCAAAGAGATGAGTGAACCTCCCCTTTCTGTCCCTACAGACAACGGCCCCACCGGGAACCGGCGCACCGGGACTGCCACCGTGTATGTGACTGTCCTGGATGTCAACGACAACAGACCCATCTTCCTGCAGAGCAGCTATGAAGTCAGTGTCCCCGAGGACATCCCAGCTGCCAGCAGCATAGTGCAGGCACGTGGCTCTTCCCCTGGGACCCTGGGGTGGGAGGTGGGAGTCCCCCACTGACTGTGCCCTGACCATGAGCTGCTGGAAGCCCAGGGCAGGGATTTTTCTCTCCATGTCTGTTCCCTCGGGCAGGGTGGGATGTGTTCTTGCTCATACACTCCTCTGCTAGCCCAGGCTGTGAGTGCCAGGGAGAAGGCAGCAAAGAGCAAGGGAAAATTAAGAAACTCACCCCATTTCTGCAGGGGGTGAGAGGAGAAGAGCCAAGCCCTGTGCTGGCGAGTCCACTTTGGCTACATCCCTGCTTTCTCCCTCCTTCCAAACAGAGATCTCCATGGGGAGGGAGAAGAGTGCCTGCAAAGAGATGCTCAGAGAGGGGGAAAACCCTTGGAGAGGGAGAAAAGCATTTGGACTTTGCTTTCATTTTTGTTCCTCTTTGAGGGAGCGGTGGGCAGAGCTGAATGGCTCAGTGAGCACGGGATGAATGCGGGCATTCACACAGGCTTCCAGCATCCCTTCAAACCCTGGGCTCTTCTGGAGCAGGCACCAAAGGCTCTTTGCAGAGGGCCCTGGGAAGGCTCCTCCTGCCTTCAATACCTCTGCCGGCACAGGGAAAGGGACAGCTTTGTCCCTGGCTGTGGCAGGCAGGATGAGTCACCGGCAGAGAAGAAAGGAGCCTTTTGCCTCCTGCAACAAAGGTTTGCTGGGAGCCGTGTGTCTGCTCTGGGCAGCCAGTCCCCAAGGGATCCTGTGGTTCCTCATCACCTGGTGTGCCATGGCACGGTGTGCCTGGTGTCTCTGGGATCAGTCTGCAGTCCCAGGATGGAGGTCTGTCCCTGCACAGGACTTCTAAAATTGAGCCACAAATCGAGTGGCAAATTGGAGAAATGGAGGGAACTCGAGTCTGACTGGCGACAAAGTGCCTTTTCTTAGAACCCGCTTCCCAGAAGAGGGGGATGCCCTTGGAAGTCCATGGCAAAAGAGAGGAAGTAATTGGGGGGAAGTTGTTTTTCCACAGAACAACATGGGAGAGAAACAGAAATGAGCCATCACCCGGCTTTAGTTTAATTTACACCTTCAGTGTGAACCATTTGTACAGAAGGTCCCTCCCCTCAAATGCATCCCCACATCCCCAGGGCAGCACGAGAGCTTCTGAATGTTTCCCCATCCCTTTCTCCCAAAATCAGGCAGACCAGGGCCAGAGAGCAGGAATGGGAATGCATTGACCACAGCAACCCACAGCTCACTGCATGGAGGGGGGTGACAGGGACCAGGCAGCACGGGGGAGCACGAACCTCCCTCCACCTGCTCCAGAGCACAGCTCAGGGGAAAACCTCCACTGAGGATTGCTTTCTGTGGAGCAGGTTTGCCCTGGGCTGCCTCTCTTCACGTAGCCAGGTTGCTCCCACTCTCTTCCAGGTGGAGCACAACTTGCACAATGTTTTCCAAAAGAAATGAAGCAGCAGGATTTTTTTTTTTTTTTTGCCTGCCCGGTGGTAGCTGCGTGTGGGCGTAGTTTGGATGCCTCCACCTTCCCTGGCAGGAAGCAGTAACCTGGAAAGCATTTGGGAACCTGACATTGCAAAATCTCCTGCCACCTCACAGACCCTGGAAATGACTTGCTCAAAGGGTCTCTACTCAGGATACCAAGGGATGCTTGAGAAGGGAGCCAAAAAGCTTGGGAGAGAGGAGCAGGGCAAGATCACATTTTGGTGGACTCCATAATGTCCCAGTCCTGGCTGCTGGAGAAGCTCCTGGGACAGGCCAGCGGGCTCTGGGACACCAGCTGGCTCCTCCTGAAGCTGCTGATGGAGGCCCTCAGGGAGCCCAGACGCTTCCAGAGCCTCAGCTGGGGCTCGCTGGCATCCGCAGGGTGGTGGGGCAGGCACTCCTGGGGGCTGGAGAAGGACTGGCCCAGCGCTGCTGGCCTGCAGAGGGTGACAAAGGTGAGGAGGGTGGCCAGCACCAGGAAGATGCAGACGAGCCCAACGATGATGGGCAGCCAGTCTGTCACCTCAGGGGATGTGGCACTGGGTGGCACTGGCTCCAGAAGCCCAGGGAGAGGTGTGGTGGGAGAGGTGCCATTGCCAGAGCTCATCTTCCCTGCAAGGTGACACAGAAAAGAGACACAGGTGATTACCACGTGGAATCTGGACAGACAGCCACCCTCTGGTTAAACTGATGGATTCTTGCCATGCCTTGATGTCCAAGATTCTCCCAGCCATGTTTTCAGTGGCACAGGGGGACAGGGGGTGTCCATCTGCTTTGCCAGGAGGCAAAGCACAGAGGTGGGGCTTACACTTGCAAAGTACCACCCTGAAATGAAGTGCAAAACTGCCTGGCAAAGAAATCTGCCTCTATTTATGGCCTCTGGGAGGACACTTTCAGGGAGCACACACACATTGCATGAAGATTTTCTGGAAGAGATAAATATCCATGTACCACAGAGAGCTCAAAATCATCCCCCCAAGCTGCTGAGGTTTGGTTCTCCTCTGTTCCCAGAAATGCAGGTTTGTTGAATTGGGGGTTTTGTGATTATTCTCCCAAAGAATAGTCTCCCAAAGAGTATTTGTGATTATTGGCATTTGGGGGGTTTGTGATTATTCTCCCAAAGAAATTGGACAGTTGGTTGGGCCTGTGCCCGGATAAGTTCCCATCAAGCTGTGGTGTTGTGCTAGCACTGTCTTTATTATTTTGCAAGGGTGAAGAGTAACACCCTCTTTTTGGCATGACCTTAGTCATGCCAAAAATCCTCATGCCAGGCATTTTGCTGAGCTGCTTCCAGGCTCAGACATGTCATAGGTGATACAAACCACCTTCCCAAAGTGCTAGCAGTGTTAGCTCTTGCCTAACACCTGGTGGAGACTGTCCTCTCCTTTCCCCAGCAGGTCAGATCCTCCCAAGAGCATTTTGCACCCTTTTTTGCTCACATGCCCACCCCCAGCCCCAGACAGGCTGTGCCAGAGGCTGGCATCTCTCCAGCTGGAGATGAGGAGATGAGGGCTGGGGAAATCCTGTTTGTGCCAACCCTCTGCAATGCCCTGTGTGCTGGAGGTAAAGCTCTATTATGCTGACTTCCCTGTGGAGATGTGGGAGAGCTGTCTGACTGGTCTGTGGCTGGGCAGTCTCCTGCTAAACTGGGATTTGGATTGAGCCAATTTAAAGCCAAGATCTTAGGAGGGGAAAGGCAGGGCTGTGGGGGCTGCCAGGGTCTCTGGGTCTGCTCTTGCAGCCACCATCCCAAAGTGACACAGGGGTGTGTAAGGCAGCAGCCAAACACTCCCCATAAAACATTCCAAAAAGCGGAGAGAAGACATCAGTGGCATGGTCTTATTCACTAAGGGTGTATCAGCCTGCTCAGAGCTTGGGGGTCTTTGGGGAGATGGTGCTGTTTCCACGGGTCAGGGCCAGGTCTGTGCCTGGAAAATGGAAAATGCAAAAACCAGTGGGTCAGCGTTTGAGAGGGTGAATCCCTGTGTGTATTGCAGGCAGTCCCAGGGATGGAGCTCTGGTCACCTCCTCCAAGGAGATGTTTGCACCTCTCTTCACCCCAAATGTATTTTTTTATCCATAACCAGCTCCATCCCTTCCCCTCAGCTTTGGGAACAGAGCAGCAATCCCAAGGACTCGCTGCTCCAGGAACAGGCTCCTCTGTGCTGCCCAGGGCAGGAGAGCTAGCAGGCAGGGCTGCAGTGTGTCCCACACCACAGGCAGCCTGAATCAAGGTTTCCACGGCTACCTTAAAGCTGGCATTTACCGACTGCATGTGGTGACCTTACATTGTTCCTTAAGAGCCAGCCAGGAGGCATGGACAATTCCTTCAGGCTCTTTAATTCCTTCAGGCTGGTTTTGCTCCCTTGCTCATGAGTTTGTCTTTTAAATTCACTTGACAGTGTTGCATAGAAACCCATCAGGAGGGATCACAATGATGTTTTCCCAGGCTTCTTCAGCCATGCCCTGGTTCTCCTCACACCCAGCTCAAGCTGGCAGAGCTTGCATGGCATTGCCCCTTCCCAGCACCACCGCCCCACCCAGGCTCCATGTTCTTCACCCTGCTGGGTTAAAAGAGCTTTTCCTGCCCTGGAAATCCTCCCCAGAGGTTCATCCCTGCCTGATCAGCTCCAAATCTGACACATCCCTGTGAGCACTCAGGCTGCAGCACTGGCCACGAGGCAGATGAGGATCAGAGTGGGGGAAAGAGAAATTGCAAAAGGTAAAATGCCCCTGAGAAAGGTGGAAAGGTAGAAAAAAAGAATGATTCTCATGCCTGAGCAGCAGAGAGGGTTCTCCTGCCCAGCACCAGGCACTGCTCCCTGGCCTGGCCCAGCTGCCTAGTTTGGCAGTTTTTCCATCTGCTCTCCCTCCCTTTCCTCAAACTCCTGCAAAGAAAAGCCTGTTCTCAGGCACTGCCTGTGACACAGCTCCCATGAAAAGCAGCTCTCATTCCCCTGCCCGGCTTGCTTAGCAACACTTTTCCTGGAGCTCCCCAACTTTTCCCAGTGCACTAAATCTTTCCAGGGGCTGGCAGGAGGAGGTGATGCTGGGCAGGACCAAACCCGCGGCTGCCTGACCCGCCTGCTGGGGTCCCCAGGGCTGTGAGTGATGCTGCTCCCCAGCAGCCTCGCTGTTACACGGCAGAGCTGCCCCCACAGGACATTCCCCCTCTCCCATCACCGGGAGAGACTCGGCTGGGAAGGGAGGAGGGATGCCTGACCCCGGTGCCCACCCCAAACTTTGCACCCCCACCCATTTTCAGCGCTTTCCCCAGGCTGAGGGCAGCAGCTCTGCAGCCGGGGGTCTGTCTCAGCCCGGGGGGTGACCTAAGGAGCTGGCAGTGGCTTTGCCGCGGGGATTTGGGCTCCCTACCTCTCACCAGCCGGCCGAGCCCGGGCTCTGCCTCTCGCACTCCCTCCTTGCCGCCTCTCCCACCGCGCTCTGCCGGCTGCCAGCCCCCTCCTCCCTTTGGGGAGGGTGGGACAGAGGTGGCAGCCGGGTGGGGACAGCCTGAGCCGGCAAAGCCGAGGGGCCCTGAGCCCCTTCCCGGCGCTGTGGTGCCCCGGAGCTGTGTCCTGCCGGAGCCGTGTCCCCTGCTGGGGTCGAGCCCCCCGGGATGCGTTTCCTACAGGATTTATCCCTGTAGGGTGAACGAATGGTACAGTCGTGGGCTGAGCCCCCGTGGTGGGAGGGCTGGCACCTGCCTTCCACATGCTTTCTCCCCATTTTCCCAGAAAATCGACTTTTTCCCCATTCTTTTATTGCCCCTCCTCATCCTCTTCTGACAATTTTCTCCCAGAGGGGGCTGTGACAGGCTGGCTGTGCCTGCAGCCCAGCCTGTGGCAGAGGGATAAAAGAGGCTGGAGCTCAGCTTGGCTGCACCAGGTGCTTTCCACCTGCAGCAGAAAGAGCTTTTCTCCCACTGCTTGCCCTGCAGTGCCACTGTTTTCCCAAGTTTGGGACAGTTTGTCAAAGTACCACCTTTCAGCAGGTAAAACCAGCAGCAGCCAAGCTTTCCTCAGCCTGTAGGCTGGCAGAAGCACACCTTGCTTTAGTGCGAACTACTGATTTTTAATAAAAAACAAGTGCCTGGGCTGACCCATAGCACCCAGTTTATGTAGCAAAGCTTCAGCTTCGGGTGAGCTGAGGGGCTGTTTGCAAGGTGCAGTTGGCTCATCCTGAAATGGACTCTCCTGAGCACAGTGGGGCAAGGAATGGCACAAAAAGCTGAGAAGTTTTGCCTCCCATCCCTTTGTTTTTCCTGCTCTGGCTACATGATAGCTTTTCCCTGTGCCATGCCAAGGCAGCTGGTCTGCCTGGGCGTCGCTTGCCTGCTGTTGTGGGGCCCATCCCATCCCATCCCATCCCATCCCATCCCGTCCCATCCCATCCCATTCCATCCCATGGGACAGGAGACAGCCCAGCTCTGCCTCAGGGAGCCCAGCAGGTGAAAGAGCTGGTTTGGGAGGGAGAACTCCCCGCTGTGAAAGGAAGTTCTTGGTGGAGCATGGAATAATCCACGAGCAAGGTATAAACTGGTCTGGGACAGAGGAAAAGAGCATGTGTGGGCACAGGGGTGAGAAATCCAGATAGAGGTCAGTATTTTCCAAGTTTTCTGCTGCCACAGGGGAAGGGAGCAAAAGCAGTTCAAGGTACCTCAAAACCACATTTCAGAGGAGCATCTCTGACTCCTTCAAGTTGTGTGGGGCTGGGGGTGAAAGCCCTCACTGTTCCCACTGCACGTGCACCCTTTGCAGCATTTCCTTTTCTCTGCATAAATCTGGATGTAAACCTTCCCAGGAAAAAGAAACTGCTGGGTAATATTGTGGGAAGAGGCAGAAGGTGCCTTGCAGAGGGGAGCAGGGAGAGAATAAAGGCTCAGGCATTCCCTGCATCCTCGCCCTGGTGATTTGTGAGTAGCCACTCTGCAGTCGAGCTGTGGGTGCTTTGTGGGGAGTGGGTTTTGCCAAGAAAAGATGCAGGGGCTCGGTGCCAGCTGGACTGGAAGCCCTGGCCCTGCTGTGTGGGGCTGGGGGTGAAAGCCCTCACTGTTCCCACTGCACGTGCACCCTTTGCAGCAACATTTCCTTTTCTCTGCATAAATCTGGGTGTAAACCTTCCCAGGAAAAAGAAACTGCTGGGTAATATTGTGGGAAGAGGCAGAAGGTGCCTTGCAGAGGGGAGCAGGGAGAGAATAAAGGCTCAGGCATTCCCTGCATCCTCGCCCTGGTGATTTGTGAGTAGCCACTCTGCAGTCGAGCTGTGGGTGCTTTGTGGGGAGTGGGTTTTGCCAAGAAAAGATGCAGGGGCTCGGTGCCAGCTGGACTGGAAGCCCTGGCCCTGCTGGTCACTGCCAGGTCCCGCTTCCCAGCTGCTGACTGCTGGCTGGGGTTTAGGGGAAGCACTGCAGTCTTGTTCAGTGACACCAGAGGGGACCCGTGCCTTGGTTTTCCCAGGGCGGGTGGCAGACTCGCTCCGTGCCGGGACTGTGCAGTGCAGCAGAGCCCAGGGCTGCTCCCACCCCTGCTCAGGGGCTCACAAGGACGCTCTGGGTTGCATTCACATTGCCTTTGGCAGTTTTTCTGCGTGCTGCTGCTTGGGTGA